TCATCCAGATTCATATCTTCACGTTGCCTACCCGAGCTGTGATGGCACCCCTTACTCATAATCCTCCTCCTTCATGGCTCCAGGTCTTGGCAGCTCAGGGTGAGGCTGAGGACTGGGAAGCCCAAGTCCCAGCCGAGAGGTGGGATGTTGAGATATCTCCCCTCAGATGATGAAGGTATTTTCTGAGTAGCAGCTCTTAAACATGAGTCGTCTGTACTTCCAGAACTGTCAGATAAAATAAAATGACCAAAAATCAGAGTCCGGTTCAGAAATTTCATTTAGAAGGGCCTAGCTTGAAACACCATCAGTGGGCTGACATTTTGCATGTCTGAAAATATCTCATGCTACTTAAATAAAAGCAGCCACTCCAAATCACCGGGTGCTTCTAAAGAGCATCTGCTCAGTGACTCAGGCACACAACTTAATTTCTGAGCAAGGCTTTATCTCTTGGGTGCAGGTTTTCTAGTTGTGTGTAAGACACACCACTGTGCTATTCAAGAACTTAAAATTCAAAATGAAGTCATTGAACTGGCAAGCAAAAGTAAACTTGTGTCGTTAAATATGAAAATGAAATCTGTCTTATCTGCGAGGGTTTGGAAATGGAGACCAAGCTGGTGTATGTACAGTGTGTCAATATGTGAACTAAATTCTGCTCCCCCTTGTAAGTATTTGGTTCCTGTTGGTATCAAGTGTAGATGGTATTAAAACAGCATCTTTGGCTTCCCTGTGATAGTCTTTTCCTAAGGTTACATCTGACTTGCATGGATTTGAAAAGAAAGCATCTTACTACAAATCATAGAAGATTTTTACAACTTTCAATACCATTCTGGCTTGCAGATCCTGTGGAGTCATCGCATCTGGGAGCATTGATATAACAATGGCAGGAGCTTCTGTGTTACCAGTTTCAGGCTACTGCTGCTGAAAGCACCATGCCATACTACCCTTTTCATAAGCTTCTCGCATTCTTGTCTCAGTAAGTCGGTGACTTTGCCCATTCCCTTTTAACGGGAGTGCTGTTCCAAGAACCTTCTTGTTCTAAGAGTTAGGAACTTTCTTCTAATTTCTGATCCAAACGCAGTCATGAACAGTTTCTCTCCTTTTATTTTTTTTCTTTTTCTACTGCTAACAATGTCCTGTAGCCCTTGCCCCTTTGCAGTATTTATAGACATGAGCTGAAATCCTTTTGAGCCTTTGTTTGGCTAGACTGATCCCACCACCTGTTCTCATCTCTCTCATAAGACAGCCTCTCCAGTTCCCCAATTATCCGGCTGTTAGTTACCAGAATTGTACACACTCTTCCAGATGCTGTTTCACTTGGGCCTGCACCCAGGCACAGTTCTTGGAGCTGCCTCTCCCCTTACATCCAGCCATTGCAGGTACCTTCTTCATGGCTACCTCATGGTAGTTATGTGTGACTCTCTAAACAACCTACAGACAAGTCCTCTCTATTTTGGCAGAGGAACTACTCTGCCTTAATCATTACTTTCATATATCTGATGAACTTCTGAGGAAACCGTATGAGTGGCGGAGTGGAAGTCTTGAGGGTTGTACCTGTGTTGTGTTAATGTGCAGGCAAGGGAGAGGCCTTGGCCAAAACTTCCTGCTCTCCTCCACTTCACAGCCTCCCAGGCCCCAGGACATCCATCCTCCCACCACACCATGGTGGGACTGTGCTGCACCAGATCCTCTGGCTTCCCCACTGCATGCAGCACAGACTCAGCCCCCAGGAATGGATGTGACTTTGCCTGGCAGGAGTCTCACTGGTGACCTGCCCTATTTGGTGGGAAGGAAGCACCTTTGTGGAGCTGTGGGAGATGGATGAAGCAGGCTGTTGGACCAGCACCTCTAGGCCCAGCCATATTGCCCAGCTGCGGAGCAACATGGGTCACTGTCCAGAACTTCCAACGGGGGACTCGGCAGGAGGGCAGGAAACTTTCAGAAGACATGGAAATAATATCTCTTGGACTTTACAAGCTTCTTTTCTTTCTACAAGCTCAGACACTTCCCAAGGTGATGAATCACAAACTAAAGGGCCAAATACTGGAATTATAGGTAACAGTCAAGCTCTGATATTTCTGGTGCTTCAGTAGGTTAGCTCTTTCGCACCTTGTTACATGACATGGATGCTCACATGGCTACATGTTGTGGGGGAGGGCCAAAGAATGAAGCTACAGTGGAGGCAGTGCCTCCTTGTTGGACTATCCATAGCGTGGGGCTTCGCAGGGTGGCACAGCCTCTGACCACCACGCAAGGCTGCAGCCATTGCCCGGTGCAGCTGGGTGGCAGGTCACCACTGCAGCAGCACCGCAGTGGCACACGGCAGGACCCTGCGTCAGTCTCAACCATGGCGTGAAGCTTGTATGGTCTGTGCAGTACCCACCCCACCCCTCTCACCCCCCAGCCCAAATTTGGGGTAACACTCACAGGAGAGATTTGGCTCAGTGTAAAGGCAGGAGGCAGGATTTGCGTTTTTTCTTCCTTGGGAAGCTACAGTATTTCTGCTTTTCATTGGGCTCGTCATTTTTGCAACTCAGGAGGAGATAAATAATGTTCTAAAGATGCAGAGGTTGTTCCTAAAGATGTTATAACCCATTGTCCTCTCCTGTCCTTTACCTCTTCAGTGACAGCAAGCACTCGGTTATCCTTTGCAGCTTTTTTATTGCTAACAAATTAATTTTGACAGATTTTAGTGTGGTTGTTTCTCTGACTGGTCTTTGAGAGAAAGTGGACAGACAGCCACTGCAGAAAGCCCTATGAGTTTAATCCAAATTGCTCCTTGGAAGCATCCGTGAGGGAGCTCGGTGCCATCGGCAGCAGGGCTGACACCCACCCAGGGAGGGAAGGGGGCTGACTTTCCCTTCAGCGGGGCATCAACACATTAACAAGGTGGTTTTGGGGGCTCTGCCTCGCGACTCTGCAAATAGGAGAGAGGCCTTGAAATGCCTCCAAGTGAAACCGCTGCAAAGTTTATGCAGGCAGAAGGTAATTACCCAGATTAGACTTGGCCATGGTGCAGGACTGACACTTTGTGAGGGAGTGTGCCACAGGAGCTTAAATAACCACACGCGGCCGCACTTCCGTGACTTCACATTTTAGCTGAAATACCAATCTGCATCGTCAGAATGGGCCTCACACCAGAGAGGACTGATGAGCCACTTGTCAGCAACCGCAGTCAGCAGCTCTGGCTGAGCCTTCACAAGGGCTGTGTCCATCGCCCTCTCCTTCTGCAAAATCTCTTACTGACCTGAAAGATAAATCTTACCTTGCTATGTTCCTTTTTCTAGATTTTTTGCATTCTTCTGCATTCTCTTCTCTTCTCTTCTCTTCTCTTCTCTTCTCTTCTCTTCTCTTCTCTTCTCTTCTCTTCTCTTCTCTCTGCTACTTTTCAGTGTTCATTTTCTTAAGTATCATCATCTTTTTCTATATCCATTTTTACCTCCCATACAAATAGTTTCCTCACTTCTCTCTCCCTCTTTCTTTAAAAGTTTGGGTTTGTGTTGTTTTAACATATTCTTGTCTTCCTCGAAATCCTCCCCATTGTGCTTTCTTCGAGTTCCCTCCCTATCTTTTGTTCTCCCTTGCAACAGCTTAGCTGCTTCTGGCATTTGATTAAACATTTTGCTGTTTTTCATCCTTCACAAAGCTGCTGGGGACAAGGTCTGGGCTTGCAGGTCTCCTCCTGACTGTTGTCTTCATTCCATTTCTTCCATCCTCAGAAGATCCCAAGCTCCAGCTTCCATTTGGTGGTGGGAGATTGACCATAGGTTGATTTTTATGCCATGGGAGCCTATGCAATTACAAAGGCAGCTAAAGACTAATTGTACGTACCATATTTCCTGTGATACTGAGTCTAGAAATACTCGTGAGTTGTTGTGATCCTGAGGCAAGAGGAAAAATGTTGGGAAGTGTTTCAATTAGTTATAAATTGTCTTTGGTGTGTTTGAGTCAATAAATACAAAAGCAAAACAGTATTTTCACTGGTTTTTTGCCTTAACGTTCCTGACAGTTCACTAATGGATCCCCTTTCCATTATGCTTTATTTCCCTCCAGAAATTTGTTCCTCTTTCTGGGGAAATTTGTCTCATTACTATTCCTAGATACAAGCTTACCTGTATTTTTCTAGTGCTACTGTAATGTTGGGTGACCTTCAGTAATTACTTCTCTGTGGTATGGCTTTATGTAAAAGAAATACTAATTTTGTTATTTATTGTTGAAATGGGCACACTAATTAATATTTAGTAGTGCTTCTAAACACATATCTCCTCTTGTCTTTCAACATTTTGGCCACCGCTCAGCTTTCTTCATGTTATCACCACCTTCACACGAGCTGAAGCACCCAGACCAAAAACTGATTTGAGAGAGGGAGATGTCTAGCACTACATGAAGAAGGGCTGTTCATGTTGTCGCCTGTGATGTGATACCTCCAGCTGTGCATCTCCATATTGGCTCTGCTTCCACCATATCATATTGACAGTTCACACCCCACTTGTTGTTCAGCTGATACCATATGAAAGTCTTTTTCCACCTGAACGCTAGACTTGCTCTTCAAGTTTCTCTGTCTGACTGAATGTCTGCACTGGGGTTAGTTCTGCCTAGATACAGCCATTGCGCTGGTACTGAATGGATCTCAGCTGAATAACTCTGCTGCAGCCTTAAAATATCCACATTAATTTTTAACCTTTAAGTCAACATGAACTGCAGCTCTATTCATCACCCACTTCCCCTTCTGTTAAATCAAGGTTTAGGACCTGGTATAAAACACCAGTGACGTGATACAGCCCACAGCTTAGTTTTAGTTGTATATACCCTTATGAACCATTTTTTCTCATGTCAGTAAATAACTGCACTAAGATATAGGATCAGGTAACTATCCTCCAAGCAGGCTTGATGGGTGCAGCTGAGAAAGATCTCAAGTTCTTTCCCAGGAGACTTCCCTAATGCTCATGAACTTGACGCAAACGTCTGGTAGGTTTTCACTCACAGAAACCCAGGACTATGTGTCTGCTTGAAAGCTTCAAACCACATTTATTGTAAATTCATGGAAAAAAAAGAAGAAGAAACCACAGGCTGGGAAACTATTACATCTCAGTGTGAAGAACTTGTCCAGTGATGTGCAAACAGAGATTGAGAAGAATATCTAAATAAGCAGCAGTTTCTCAATAGAAATCTCATTAAATAAAAAAGAAAATTATTTCCATATTTACAGATTACAAGGCAAATGTATCCTTAAAGCATTGTTTCATATATAGAGGGTTTATTTCCTTGAAATAAAAGAGAAATGGTTTGAATCTAAGAGTGTACTTTGAACGCAGCTTGCTACACAGTCTATGTTACCACCAGTGAATGGATGAGTAGCCTCTCCTTGACCACTGCAGTGCTCTGCTTCTTCTGTTGTCCAGGCTTTCACCGAAGGGCTTCTGGTACCTCCACCTATGAAAGGAGGGGTGGGGTGGGGAGGGTGTTCATTACGTTTGCTGTACAGTCTGGATGGCAAAATTCCTACTGGAGCTGCAGACACGCTCCCAAGATCCCTGTGCTACACAGCAACTCCTGTAACAAGCCTGAACCTGGGAAAGTACCCCACTTTCTGTCAAAAACACAGTGGAATAAAAATCAGCGTGCTGAGAAAAGCCTATTCAGAAGAAAGCCTCCCCCCAGCAAATGTTTTCTTATGCTCACATTTCTAAGAATGTTTTTTTTTTTTTTTGTTAAATATATGTGTACTAAAATTAATTGAGCTTGTGCTATATCTGAGCCGCAATCACTTACTGAAATACAATCTTACTTACCCGCCTTAATTGCTTTATGCTGCTTGCCCGAATTGCTTCCATAAGGTTGTCATGGAGAGACCTTTGTGGGGTGGAGGGGCGGGTGGAGGGTCGTGAACCTTCCTCTGATTTTCTGTCCGAGACTGATTTTAGAGAATCTTTAATTTCTTTCAATATGCTGTTCTCATGTTTTTTGCCTTTTTTCTTTTTCTGTCCATTCTGTAAGGCTTTTTTTGAGCTTTCTTGCTGTTTGATGACTTCAGCTATATTCCTGGTTGGTGCCTTCTTCTCTGGAATAACTGGGGGAGGGGGAGGAGGAGGTGCATAAGGTGAGGACCGAGGCGTCCCCTTCTGCAAGCCTTTGGCCTTTGAATTCATGGCTCCATCACAACCAGACTCATGTTGCCGCTGCTCCTGCATACGCTTTTGTCTTTGTTTATCCATATTTCTTGTCAGAATACTTGTCATGCTCATTCTTGGGCCAGCAAGGTCAAAGTGGTATCCGAGCTTGACCAGAGTGGTGTTCTCTTTCAAAAGTTTAACTATGTCCATTTCCACCTGGCTGCCCATGATGTGCCTTTGATTGTGGAACCGCAGTTCTGTTAGAACCTTGTTATTCTGCAAAGCTCTCATGATGGCCAGCACTCCTTTGCCTGTGATAAAATTTGACTCAATATTCAGACTAGTTATATGCTGATTTACCTTTAACATGCCAGCGATAGCTATTGCAACGTTGTCATCAGCATGCGTGTTAGCCAAGCTGAATGACTTAACCACTGTGTTGTCCCTCAGGGCTTGAGAAAATTGTATAAGCATCTGTGAAGTGATGTTTTCAATGTTGTTCAGATTGACCTCTGTGGTGTCAGGGTCATTGCTCCTAACTTTTTCCAAAGCATCCTCAATAACTGTTGGATTTCCACAAGGGTGGATGGCACTGCTTTTTAAGCTCAGACTATCGGTGTCTTTTCCGTCATGGCCATTCAGTAAGTTTTCATTGCCCTTTGCGCCGTTACACATTTTGCGTCTGATGTGGTCAGAACTCCTGCCATCCTCAGGTCTTTCACCAGTTGCAGCATTTTGCTTTTCCTCACCCTCATCATCACTGTCATCTTCATCTTCCTCCTCATCTTCTTCTTCTTCCTCATCGTCCTCTTCAGTATACGCCTCCTCAGACACTTCACTATTGCTTTCTGTGAAATACTCTTCTTGAATGTCTTCTGAATTGTCGTCTTCTTGCTCAGAGTCCTGAAGAGGAATGTAGGTGTGGGTGTTAAACATGATTGCAGTAATATAGATTCTGCCTTTTCACACAAAAATAATTGTCTTGAAACTATATAAGTTAATACTGAAAACTAAAAATAAATCCCCAGAAACACAGACAGTTAGGAGAACAGAAAATGTTTCAGCACCTGACACCTTTTTAAACATATTTCTTTCATATTCTGTGGAAGACAAATGCTCGCCATAAATTGGAACAGGTTTACTGACGTCAGTGATTTCTGCCAAGAGAAAATTTGATACAAGATATTGCGACATGGACATACTTCATGCTTTCTATGTGTTGGCATGTCCACAAGGGGATGTTATTGGATCCTTGCCAGCAGAAACATAAGACCGCAACTTCAGAATGGACATGATCTATGAGCAACAAGTTTCTTGATTTCATAAGGACTAGACATCTGTGTCAATGCTCAGACTCCCTGGCATATGTTAGTACATCTAAAAAGGCTAAAGATTGCCATGGTTTAGAATACAAATAGTGTTTGCACATGTAAACATGCATATCGACATGCAAAATAATACAGAATCACAGGAGTCATATCGAAAAGACTCTGGATGCACCGTACGGGCTATACACCCTTAGAAGCTATTTGTGAAGAAAAGATTCAGGCAGATTCCCATGGATAATAAGTAATCACATGTCAATAAACCCCAAAAGTTTGCCAAGAGCTAAGACTGTGCTCACCGACAGCTGTCACAGGTCAGCTGCCATACTGTAACTCATTATAACTCATTGCCTACAGAGTAAACTGACTGTTTTTCTAAACCCCAAGGTTGTTTTGGTGTGTTTGGTGGGCACCAAAACGGCAAATTTGGATCTATTTCTCAAAGGTCTGCCCAGTGCCCTCAACAATCACAGTGGCAGAGGACAATTCTCTGTGCAGGAACAGCAAAAGGTCTGCACCTCAGGGAAGTCTCCCTCTCCATCTGGAGGACTCCAGGAGCACGGCAGTGTTGTACGGGCCATGACTGAACACACACGCTATGACCAACCTTAAACCTCTTGCTCAAAAGGATCTCTCATGTCCTGTTTTGTCTCTGGGACAAGCCATAGGGTATGCCTTTTTATATACATTTGTAAATGTTTATAACATTTTGGACAAAATATAATTGTTCTGTAGGCACTAATTTAGCAACATTCGCATTTTAGTGTTTGCAAAATGGTAGAGGGTATCTTACAAAGTGAGTACACTCTGTGGAGACACAGCGATTCTGTGTTCTGCTTCTGGAAAACAAAAGTGTTACTAAGAGCACAGCCTATTTTTAGAAAACCTGTGAGGTTTAAGGTTTGCTTAATCATCTGGCTCTGAAAATGCAGGGAAAGGTTAAAATAATAGTAATGACAGATTGCATGGTACTGTTTCACAATCTTAAGCAGATTTCTGTGCTGGGACACACACAAACCAGACGGTAATTGTAATGTTTGCAGAAGTGTGACTCTAATGAAACAGGACACGGAGGTGTTCCAGCCTGTGGTTCCTGAGGATTCAGCGCCTGGAGGGTTTGCAGGGTCCGTCCCCGTTGCCCTGCACATGGAGGGCCTGCAGGGTCCGGCCATGTTGCTTCTCCTGTGGATCATGGGTGGGAAGGTCCTTACACTGAGAGATGCTGTGCTACATACAGAAACAGGGCTGTGTTTAAGCCAGGTTTGTTATGGGACTAAGATTTATATCTGTAGTTTATATATATATGCAGACTTTTAAAAGCTGAAAACACCAGCTATCCAGGAACTCATCTTCACAGCTATGCTTTTATCTACTCAGGAATACATACTACAGCCTTCAACACAGCGGCAGATGAGCAGAAGTTGGTGCCTCTAAATGGGCTGCTAATATGCTTGATGGCACTAGATCAATAAAAAATAATCTGATTTTTTTTTTTTTTTGAGTGGCATTTCTGGGATCAAAGGGGGAACCTAGTTTCCTGTCACATACATAGTCTGGTGTCATAACCACCTGCATGATAATTTTGCAATCGAGTACTCTTCTCTTTGCAGATCCACAGAGGCACGCTCCGTTATTGTAGCAGCATTTCAGCACAGGACTGCTGCAGGCAGCCTGCAGGGCTTCATCTTACTTTGTAGTAACTACTTGATGAAAAGTTAGGACTAAGATAGTGAATGCAGAAAGGTCAAGTCATTCACCCTAAAAGGCTATCTGCAGGATGTTTGCCTTCTGGAGAGGCTGACCTCTCACCACAAACTATAGAAAGAGCACAAATAACCACCTTAGATAAGGTGTCTAACTTTCAGAAAGTTGAGGGCAAGAAGAAAATTGCTTTAAAGAAATTCAGAAGAAGCCCTCTTACTGCCTTCAGTAGAGAGAGCCTTTGTGCCCTCTACATCAGCATGGCAACATTTTCATATTTACAGATGCATTCAGGAAGTTTCTTCTCAAATCAAAAAGTATAGAGGTTTTTGGTGCCACTTTGGGGTTTAGGCAGTACCCATCATTAATGTTGTATAGACATGGAAACAGAAGGAAAAATCCTGCCATTATGTAAGGCACCGAACGAGTCTTGTTCAGAAGGTTTTTTGGAACTGCTCAGGTTTCGAGTTCCAGGCTCAGCTGGAAATAAACATTAATCTTGCCATTGCCTCCCTAGGACTTGACAAACAGGGAGTGAAGTCAACGTCTGCAAGCTGATACTAATGGTTTGATGACAGCTAGTGGTCTGTGCGCTTGCCTGCAAAGACGTTACACCACCATTCACAAGCAGGAGAAAACACTTATGTGTAAAGAAATCCAGGATATTATTAGTGCAGGCTACTTTAATCCAGGTGATTTTTCTCTAGGAGAATATTTTCTCTAATGTACAAAATGCAATTATTGCCTTGCAAATGAACCGAGCTCCTGAATCAAGGCTGTTAGAAGTTCTCAGTCCAGTTTTGCTGTCTTTGCCTTTGTTGCATTATTTTCTACTTAAACACAGGAAAACATATCCCTATAAACAGAGTAAGAGCTTGGTATGAAGCAGTGCTTAAAAATAAGAAAGCTACTCACAGTCCCAAGTCCCCACTTTCCTTTGAAAGTACATGGAGCCAATGTGAAAACAGAAGTTGCTTTTTCATAGACCTCAGTCTCACAAATCGTTTTAGCAAGGGCCCGGGGGGTGCCGACACGGATGTTAGCTTCGGCTGAGAGCTCTCATCGCCTGCTACGACTGAGCCCTTCACTCCTGCCCGGCTGTACTGTCCATTTGCAGTTCAGGGACCGGCTTTTATTATTAACTTTTTTTATTTTGGGGAGTGAATTGCTTAACGAGCACTATTGGTTGTTTTCTGGGGAATACAGATAAATGGTTTTGGCTGATGACACTACCCTGGGCCACTTTTTAAATAACTTACAGCTACCCTCTGACAACAGTTGCCAGAAGACTCCCGAGCTGTGCCAGGGATCCTCAACAGGAACAAAGCAACATAAGCTGCTGACTTCAATGCTGCTTCCTCCCAGCGAGCACAAAGCCTGGCAGCCGCCTGCTCGGCTTCTGACATAACATGTATTCAAAATTATCTTCCTGACATGATTCTCAGCAGTCAATACTGGTTTTGGTGTTTTTTTTTTAAGGAAAGGGAAAGGCATTTCTTTTAGCTTTTAAACAAAATCTAACGTTATCTAAAAGTCCACCTCACTACTTGGCAATAATTTCTAACATGCCCTTTAAAATTTTTCCGAATTTAGTCACTAATGATAGTTTTTACGGGACTTTCTTCTGTTTTTAACTGAGCATTTAAGGCACCTCCATAGACAGCAAAAACCCTCTGAGCTAATATGCAGTGCTTTAGCAGGCACAAAAGTATGGCTAACAATGTTCTTAAAAATGCTGCAAGAAACTGAAAGAAAATGAAAACAGTCAGCGAGACTATGCCAGGGAAGAAGAAACCCAAATATTTCTAGGAAACAGCATCTTACCTTGTCGCACGCACCCAATCTCTCTTTTTCTAAAAGTTTCCTGGTCTCCCTTTCCCAATAGGCCATCAACGCTTCCCTGCTGAAAGTCCCCGTCGGTGTTTTCTCTGTCAAGCTTTTCTGCCGTTGTCCCACCGGAAGGTTTCGGTCGGGCTCTATGTCCTCCAGCTCCCGCTCCAGCTCCTTCAGCTCCTCTTCAGTGAGAGAAGCGAGGAGCTCATCTTCATCAATGTCTTCATATTTACTGAGCTCTCTTCTGTAGCCAAAGGTAGACATGGTCCCGCTTGTTCAGGCTGGTGTGAACCTGAAGTGACTAGGCATTCAAGAAGGCTGAAGCAAGCAAGCTGTGTCTCGTTTGGTCAGCAACTGTTTCCCTGTGTAGCAGAGACACCCTTTTAAGAGTAATCACCGAGGGCTTACGACAATGCATGAAGGGATGAAAGCATGCTCCGTTTTAAGCATCAGACGTCAGCTAGACATCTGAACAGCAAGAATGTCCCAACACTAGTGTTTGCAGGTCCCTTAAAGAGGGGGATTATTGACACAGTGGCCATGGCCATATTTAGAGCAGGCGGCTAGCAGGAGAATACCAGCCTCGCGGACGGGGGGGCGGCAGCAAATAAAACCCCGGGCGCATTTACACCGACTTCGTGTCCAAACTGCAGTAGAGAAAGAACACAATGAAAATCCATTTAATCCTGAGCTGCCACAGGGGCTGGAAATAAAACACCCTCGCTGGTGTTCAGCGGACTTCCTCTCGTTTTCACGGTTTTTGAGCGGAACCGCGCTGTTAACCGGCCAAGGTGTTTGCAGGAGGTGGGGATCGGTGGGAAGGCAGCCCGAGGGGAGGAGGTGGCTGTGCCAGCGCGCGTGGGGAGCGCCGCTCCCGCAATGTCACACCTCCCATGTAAAAAATCACACAACTGGATTATTTATTATTTCCCCCCTTTTTTTTTTTCAAGGATGATCAGTGGGAAAATCAGCTTGACGCGTCCATTTGGAGCTTCTGTGAGATTTTTTTTTGTTGTTTCACGGGGAGAATTGCTCTGTGCTGGGGGATTGAGGGGAGTCCTGCAGAGCTTGAGGGGGAACCAGCCCTGGGTGGGCAGCAGGGCTCCCTCTTCATCACTTCTGGCAGCCCCTAGCAAATGAAGGCCTCTAGTGGCTATTTTAGTTAATGGCCATTGCTTGCTGTAGCTGACTGATGTGCAGCTGGAGAGTGCCTTTCCATTCTTAATTTTAACTGTATATAATTACCATGCCCACTAATAAATGACATTGTTCTGATATTATTTTTATAGACAGTTATCTTCCAATGTAAGAAACTACACAACGAAAGGTTAGAATTCACACTGTTCTTTTCTTTTCTCTTTAAGCAGTGTATGATGGTGAAGTAGCAATGTTTTCTGAAATGTAGAGGCCAGCAATGTCTACAAACCTGTGTTGAGAGAGAGGGAGAGGGACAGGAAGAGAGAAAGACAGAGAAAAGGTTGGTTTTGGTACAGGAAAGTAGGAGCGCATCTGTAACAACAACATATATTAACCTTATTAAATGTTAACACATGATGGGTTTATTTTTAGACAGTCAAGTCAGTATTTAATGGAAATGTAAGGGAAAATAAGTATAAGTATTGTTCTTGTCCAACATAATCTCTTTTTGGTTTGTATGGATTGGACACCTGAAATGTTGTATGATGTTTAGCCAAATTGCTCGTTTAGTTTTATTATTATGCATATTGCTTTACTGGCAATGGAGAGAGGACATAGAGCATGATTTTCATAAACAGATTTGATAAGAAATGACATTTTTCCTTTGATCATTCTTCTCTATGAATTTCATACAATTCAGCTTGCTCAAGAAGTGGGATGAAAGCTTACAAGCTTAGTCTCCCCTAACACATGAAATACATTAATAAAGCAGACTAAAGAATATTATGCATCTTAAAATAAAATAAATATTTGCAGGTCACTCACATTGACCAAATTTTTGTGTAAAATAAAGAGGAGGAAGGTACAAAACAATTTGGCTTATGGAGCTAAGAGTATTACCTTTATGGTGTCAGATACTGTGATGGGTCACATGTGTCTACACAAGTCAGTGGGTCAGTAGAAGTTCTATTCACTCTTTGAGCTGCACTTGCAGAAATGAGGCTTAGGCCAAATTCTGTAAAATATGAAACAGCAGGCAAAAAAAAAAAAAGTACCTTTTTTCTTTTAACTTTGCATTGTGAATGCTGACGTTGGCATTAATAAAATGTACGTAACAGAACTCCAAGCAATTTTATTTCTTCAATATGTCTAGGACAATGTCTCACTTTGTTATCATTCCAGTTATCCAGAGAAGCAGCACAATAAAATTATCTTTCTTGGGTGCATTTTTGCAGACAACATTTTGTTGCAAACATTTTTAGATGGAGTTGGGCAGAAAATTTGCACTGGACAGATTTTCTGTTGGAAAATGCCAATTGAAATTGAAATGCTTTCAGGAATATATTTTATTAGTACATTGACATGTACAACATTGATATGTACAATAATAAAAGCAAAAACATGGTGTTAAAAATGAAACCTATTCAAATATACTGTTTCCCAGAAAATTCTGAGCTTTCTGCTTTTCCTTTTTTCCTCAGATACAACAAAATTTGTAAGTCTCTGAATTTTCCTGGGCTGAGAGTCCATAATACAAAGTACAAACACACAGATGTTGGAATTGTGTCTTTAATATTTTCTATGGATAAATCAAAGAAACTTCAAAAAGCAACACGCATTACTCACTTTTAAAATAATATTCCAAAGGAAGATTTAGTCCAGTCCTTAGCAGCATCATGAATGTTACCTTCAATCCTACTCATTGCTGAGGCGTGATACAACGCTGAGCCAGTGGTGATGATTTTCTATATATAAAATGTCAGTGATGTCCATTCTATCCATGAGATAAGAGAATTTAAAGATGTTACTAAAGACTGACAATCATTTGATTGTAAATGAGTTCCCTGAAGCAGGGGAAACTGGCACAGTTAGGTGAGGTTATGAGAGGTTTGGGTCCTTTCTTGATGCTGTACATGTCACTCATGGTAATTTAGGACCCATTCCTTATAGGGAAGATTGACAGTACCCACTAACTTGGGTTTTAGGATTCCCTTTTGGGGGGTATTTGGCATTGTGCAGCTGGTCAGGGCTCAGTTCCTGAGGGCACCAGCCACTGCTGAAGCTGCCCACCACTTCAACAGTTCAGATCACAGGTTCCAACTTCCAAGAGGAACTCTGCTGCAAAGACAGGAGCGGTTGTGCTTTCCTGTTATTAGCATTCCTAAATGCCTTAAATCTTTTGTTCTCGTTCCACAGTCCCATTTCTCAGACATTACACACGTTCAGATTTCTAAAAAAAAAAATGAGCAAAAAAAAATAGCAGTCTGAGCATCATAGAATCATAGAATGGTTTAGGTTGGAAGGGACCTTAAAGCTCATCGAGTTCCAGCCCCCCTGCCATGGGCAGGGACACCTCCCACTAGACCAGGTTGCTCAAAGCCCCATCCAGCCTGGACTTGAACACTTCCAGGGATGGGGCAGCCACAGCTTCTCTGGGCAACCTGTGCCAGTGCCTCACCACTCTCATAGTGAAAAATTTCTTCCTAATATCTCATCTAAATCTACCCTCTTCCAGTTTGAAGCCATTCCCCCTCGTCCTATCACTACATGCCCTTGTAAAAAGTCCCTCTCCAGCTTTTGTTCTGCCTTACGTCCTAGGCTCTGTGCTCGATTAAACCATTACAAACAGCTTAGGAAGAGACCTTGTGCTAGTGAGGTGGCACAGTGAATTTCTTTCCATCACAGAAGGCAGGAGGGCAGAGCGTGAGCCATACGTAGTACATGAGGGCATGTTTATACTGGCTGCACTGACCACTGTTTGGGATGAATCCTCCAAAGTGCTTCACCACCTCCTCACAGAAAACCCAAACTCACCACCCTCCAACGCCCTGCTGAAATCTGGTACTCAGGGAATAAACCATTTCACATACACACCATGGAAACTCACCACTCAATCAATCAACAGAATTATTTAAAGGTTTGTTCCCTTCAGGACCTGAGCTAAGGAGAGAGAAAATAAGAACCGGGAGTGCCCATTTAACAGGAGCAGGATTCACTCTGCTGTTGCAGTTACTTGGCACTCAGGTTCCCGGCCTCAAGTGGGACAGAGCCCACTCAACAGCAGCTCGATTGCAGATGAGGCTTTCAGTCTTTCCTAGCCCAGGTGATCTGTTTTCTTAGTTTTAAAAGAAGAAACACTTCTAAATGTTTTTTCCTTTCCAAGCAATTAACTACTTCAAGCAGCACCCTAGGAAACTTTGTTCTGCTTCTTGCATGTTTCCACACTTTGGGCACATTGGCCCAATGGGTGGAAGGACGTGACCAACACCTGTGTTCCAAAGTGGTTCCATCTCAACGTGAGGAAAAACTTCTTTACTTTGAGGGTAACAGAGCACTGGAACAGTCTGCCCAGAGAGGTTGCAGAGTCTCCTTCTCTGGAGATATTCAAAACAACCCATCTGGATGCGTTTCTGTACAACCTGCTGTGGGTGAACCTGCTTTGGCAGGGGGGTTGGGCTCGATGATCTCTGAAGTTCCCTTCCAAACACGACCATCCTGTGATCCTGTGATTCTGAGGGGTGGTACTCAACCCTGCAGGGCAAAGCCCACAGTTAAAATCTTACTTCCACACGGATGAGTGCAGGGAAAAGTCCAGGCGAGCAAAGAGAGGGCTGCACAACCTTGTCCTCAGGCGCAGGGCAGGGCCGTCCCCAGGACAGTGGCTATTTCAGTCACGGCTCCTGAGGACAGCCTGTCCGCCAGATGCGTTGGCTCGTACTGAGCTGCAGTCCCACGCTGCAGGAACAGCTCCAGTTGCCACAGAGCCCATTAAAAACAATGCACCACAGCACAGCTGGGCTTCCTCCATCTCTCCCGCCACCCTTCTGCCTGCGGTGCTTGCTCCTGCCATCCCCCATCGCTTTTGCACCCCTCGTTGCTCAACCAGCTCCTTCCCTCCTGCTGCCCCCTCATGCAGACCCCCCGGCTGCACGGCCTTCTCCACCCCTGGCCCTGCAGGACCCCCTCGCCCGCCTTCCCCGCACAGCCCCTCACTGTCCTCACCTGCCTCCACAGCCCCTTCCCTGACCTCTCCTTCCCTCCTCTCCTCGCACGCCCCCTCTCCTGTCCCCATGCTTCTCCCTGCCTGCCTTCCCCCTCCCACCTATATCATTTTTTTATATATATAC